TATATTTCACGACTACTGCATATCACCGCGAATATCGCGTTTCCCACTGAGTATCACGTAAGACGGGTGAAACTCTAACAGCATACGTCCATGAAGATCTGGTGAAATTTTAGGTCAAATATTAAAAGCTCTCTAATTATAAATATATATATACTAGTTCATCGGCGTTTCACCCGTTTTACGTGAAGTGGCGTAATACTCTGTGAAAAACGCTATGCAGTAGTCGTGAAATATATTTCTCACTATTGTTTTTCATATCACTTGGGTGAAACTCCATAGTATTAAATAGCGTTGCACTGATACCATACGCGTTGTGCTCAGGCAAGCTCAAGGAAAGGTTCGAAGAGAAAAAGCAGTAAAAGCAAAGACGGTGGCAGTAAGAAGAAGAGAAAGTCAAAGAAAGCAGCCACGCCCCAACCGGCGGCGTCTGTCTTGTCGTCACCCGATGCTTCCTCGGTGTGCCCGAGCATCAGTGGGGATGAAGACGAGCCTGCAACTTGAGTATTGTTTTACTTAACATGGATGTTGTGTTGGGTGCAGGGTTCGAACCCGGGACCTTCAGATTACCCACATCCGAGTGCCTTGATGTTCTCATTGGGTCGTCTTCTTCTCAATACCCGTGACCTGGCCGCTCCCAAAAAGAAGACAACCTGGTACCATTTGTAGCGGAGCGAAGCTGGTGTAGTTTTCATCATCTCACAGGCGTACAGTCCATAGACGTCGAGTGTTGACCTTTCGCTACGACCATAGATGGCGATATAGAATTCGACACCAACACTATGAAAGACGGTGACTGTGCTCAGGGGATAGGCGTTATTCCTCTAGGTCCATATTTCGAATGTGAGATCAGGTCTCCTTGCAAAATAGCACGCAGATTGCAAATGCGACATTTTGTGTTTTTCAGATTCTTAAACACTCTGATGAGTATTTTTTGGCTGAAGAGAACGTAAATTGTCAAATTTTACGTTTTTCCGATCCAAAATTAACTTGTAAATTCTCATTGAGAAATCGCTTGCCTTCGTACTCTCCTCAGCCGCGCCTCCGGCCACCTGTGTTGATGTCATTTGATTCTCTTCAGACAGTTGGTGGCTTCTGACTTCTTCCCTGCAGACGCCAAACCTCGATTTCGATATGCAGGCTTTTGGTGGGCGAGCCCAGCGCAAAGGAAGTTGGGATGCTCTTATTTTCTCAGGCCGGGGATCTTCAACCATGCGGGCACACCAGAGGTAGAGAGAATGCAAAAAGTTGAATGACCACGTTTCTGAATGCACTCCATGATTTTTTTTATGTTGAGTTCCCTAGTATTCGTCGGCATACGACGGTCTTGAAAGTGTCAGAAAATGTCTGAGAAGTATTACACCAACCTCATTACAGCAATAGGCAGCGAGGACCTCCATATTGAGGCGAAGCGTAGCGATGAACGCGGCATAGGCTTGTACGCTACCGATACGTTGCAAGCTGGCGAGACACTCTGGGCTGAGCGCCCTCTTCTCGGTGCGCTGGTACGGGCTTTCGACACCTCTTTATGTGTCTGCGAAACATGTGGACGGTTTCTGGGCTCACTACAACTACAGTTGAAATTCGGCTTGGGGTTGGTCACCATCAAGGAGATGGCGAAAGTGTTCAACGACGCTGATGAGAAGTTGATCTACGAGCTGTTGTTCACTCCGGAGCTCCCAAAGGTCCCTGGAGAGGCTTCCAGGTTGACTGACGAGACCCCTATCGCTTGGCAGGCCGACGGTGACACTCTGTTGTTCTGCTCTCGACACTGCCGCGATGGGTTTGATAATGTACATCGTCCTCTGTGG